CACCCCCCCCAACGCTGCACCATTGCACCAACCCCCCACTATAATAGTGATGACGTACCATTACAATGTATCGCTGGTTGGTGGCCATGTTTGCGTGTTTGCTTGTCGTTAGTGGTCTCTCCACCGTGTGCCTTTTTCTTTCTCTTATTTCTTGTTGTTTTCGGCGTGGTCCCTTTTTGTCCTCGCTCTTTTTATTTCATTTTCTCTTTCCTTAGGCCACTTGATACGCTGTCTCTTTTTGGGCTGTCCCTTTTCTCTTTTCTCAAAAAGGGACAAAGTTGCCCAAAAAGGGACAGGATGGGGTGATCTTTTTTCGCTGTCCCTTTTCGGGAGGTTCAAAAACGCAAAAAAAGACCACGTAACAAGTGGTTTTTGGTCAGTTGTCCCTTTTTGAGAAAAGAGAAAAGGGACAGCCCAAAAAGAGACAGCGTAACAAGTGGCCTTACCCTTCCCTTTTAATTTCTTCTCTTTTTATCTTTTTCTCTTTTTTTCTGTGCCAGATAGACGGCCTTGTCTCTGCTTGCGTTGTGAAGTACCAAGATTGAACCAAGGGGGTGTACCACATACTCTCCGGTCTGTGATGGTGACTCCTAGTCTCAGTTGTTACCTCGCATAGCCCGCAGAGGGAGTGGAGGACTCCAGAATACCTGTCGTTGATTTCTTTTGACTTGTGGACCCCTCGTGGCTTTTTTATTTGAGTGTACCTTTTTAGGGTAACTTAGCCTGCGACCACGGGAATCGACCGCGTCGAGTGTTGGATCAGTACGGACATNGGTCCATTTCATTTGAGTGTACCTTTTTAGGGTAAGTTAGCCTGCGACCACGGGAATCGACCGCGTCGAGTATTGGATCAGTACGGACATACGAAGGTACTGGGTAGAGAGAGATCGGAACGGTTTTTAATGTGAAGACAACAACAACAACAACAACAACAACTCGAGTTCCGACGCTTCCGACGGCGGGCGAAGGCGGACCTAACGAACGGGGCTAACGCGGCGGAACTCTCGTTTGAAGTGGATCTCTGTCCTGCACTCCTGCAAGACTCCTCCTGCAACCCACCGCCGGCGGCGGAACTCTCTCGGTTCTCGTTTCGTATCGGAGGGAGAGGAGAGAGAGGGCCAGGCGGGCGGCGGTGGATGAATACCTCTCAATACCTCACGTGAAAACTTGATTAAGCTGCACACCAATACATGACGCAGCTCAGATATGTCCACGGAAGCATCAGGCACAGAAGCATCAGGGTGTCGCTTTCGTCTGGAATACATGTATAGATAGACACATCAAGACCGGAGATGTATGGCACGTTGTTGTGTACGCAGAGGGTCGTTCGTACACAGCAATGCAGCAGCAGCAAACAGTGGATGCCGTGGTTATGTCTCGATCAAGCCGGAGATATGTGACACATTGTTGTGTAGGGCGGATCGTACAGTAAGTAATGCAGCAGCAGCAAGCAGTGGATGCCGTGGGACCTCAGATTGAACAGCGATAATACTTCCTTGACTTCGACCTCTCGTGAGTACGTGGGAGAGACAAGGAACTGCGGGCTTGCCACAGGGGTGTTCCGCGGTAAAGACGAATTGTCTCTCCCGCGGCGAGGAAAAACTCAAATGAAAAACCGTTTTTGGATACATGTCTAAAACGACTTTACAAGCATAAAAAAAAGAGAAACAAAAAAAAAGGTGATCGGATCGCCTTGATTGTTTTTTTTCCGCGTTGCCGATTTCGGCGCCTCCAGTTCTTCTCTTCAGCAATCGATTCCGCTTGGCCGATTTAGGGGGGATAGAGCCACTCAGAAACTTGATCAGACAAAAAATCGACGTGGGAACCGAGAATCCAAAATCCCAGGAATTTTGAAATTGCTCAGCTACTGTCAGCATTTGAGCAGCTGAAAGTCCATTGCAAATCAAAACTGGGAAATTCCAACAATACATTTGTGATCCCCACCCCAAAATTACCCTAATTCGAAGTCAAGAGAGATTGAATCAATGTTAAGGAAGACCCGATTCGCAGGGTATCCGTCGATTGACTTTTACCTGAAGAATCGGTACACCTTCGCATATGGCGTCAGCTGGATACTGGTGGTTCCAATCTCCTTGGGTGCACACTTCTCCTGACTTGGACATTTCCCCAAGGACACAATATGTGTCAGTCCTGAGAACACCTCTCTCTTGGAGTCGATCCTAGAAAGAACCTTGTGACACGTCCATCGAATTACCCATCCTGGCCACAAGAGGTTCCCAGTTGAGGGTACATTCTGTGGGTGGAGAGTGTTAAGGAGGACCCGATTCGCAGGGTATCCGTCGATTGACTTTTACCTGAATCGGTACACCTTCGCATCAACATGTATGTGGAAAGTGTTGCGGGAGGGGGGATATTTCAGTGTAATTCCTAGTAATTCCCTTTATCCCTGCTTTCACGCATATATGTTTTTTGTTTGTTTGTTTTTCTCCCATCATTGGACTCTGTCGTCTGCCCCACTGGCCCCTATCCTCCACTTCTACTAGCTAGACGACCCAACCGGGGTCACATAGAAGGGGGGGGCTGGACCCCCTCCTGCGGTTCCTGCCTGAGGTATTTTTATCGCGAGAAGGGTACAGCAATCCCTTCCCTCGCGACTTACCAATTCGATTATGGTTTACTAACAAACGAGCTTTGCAGCGCGTTGCTTTCATCCTAGACCAGGATTTATTTAGTGAGAAAAAAACTCTCTTTGCCGGGACTCGAACCCATGACCTGGCCCTCATCGGGCTGCGAGGCTACCCACTAGACCACCGGGGCGACCGGTATATATCATCAGTGCGTAGCTGTATCACGGCCGCATCGATCCTGATCGAAATTCTGACGACGGATGCTTGATGTACAACACAACAATACCCTAGCCCGAAAAATTTTATTCGATTCGGAGGCGTTTGCGTCTTGCTCGGGGGGCCCGCAGACGCGATTTTCACCAAATTTTTGCCACTCATTCATCAATAAGTCATCACGACGACATCCAAATGGGAAAATAAGTATATTTTCGTGATCCTCGTGACCAAACGGATGTTGGTACAATTTTCAGAGGTTGGGAACCATTTCTTGCTGCTCATTGAAATACTCGTGGAAACTATTCGTCTTCACCGCGGAACACCCCCACAGGAGATGGGGAAAGATAGAGGGAGTGGTGGTGTTGTTTGTGTGTGTTTTCATCCTATTTTTTCTGGCGACAGCCCCCCCATTTTTCGTGGTGAGGCGTGTACTACACTCTTCAGCGTATGTATGTAGAGTATACTTCTACACTTTTCAGTGTATTTTTTGTACAACTACAAGCATCCAGGGTCATACACACGCCGGTCGCCCTGGTGGTCTAGTAGGTAGCCTCGCAGCGTGCTGAGTTCCAGGCCATGGGTTCGAGTCCCGGAAGAGTAAGTTTTTTTCTCACTAAACGAATCCTGGTCTAGGGTGAAAGAGACGCGCTGCAAAGCTCGTTTTGTTAAGTAAACCAAAATAGACTTCGCAAGCGCGAGGGAAGGGATTGCTGTACCCTTCTCGCGATAAAAATACATCAGGCAGGAACCGCAGGAGGGGGTCCAGCCCCCCCCCCCTCCTTTGTGGCCCGGTTGGGTCGTCTAGCTGGTAGAAGTGGAGGATAGGGGTCAGAGGGGCAGACGACAGAGTCCAATGATGATGGGAGAAAAACAAACAAATAAACACAGGAAGGAGGGGGGTAAACAGCAGCCAGGGCTTTTTTCTTCTTTTTTTTTCTTTTCATGCCCCACCTTCCTCCTACTGCGGTGCGTGCTGAATTTTATTTTTATCGCGAGAAGGGTCCAGCCGTCCCTTACGGGTGTCGTCTGTCGACAGCGGTGTCCTTGTAGTCTATGTCCCACACACAGCTGCTACCACAGCTAAATAAATAGCTGTGTGCAGCAGTAGACTGCTAGTCTACTGAAGGAGTTTCCCTTCTTAGCGATGGCAACGCAATTTGTTGCCTTTCACGGCCCACAGACCTGCGTATACAACCAAGGCAGCGTTGACACANGGTGCGTGCTGAATTTTATTTTTATCGCGAGAAGGGTCCAGCCGTCCCTTACGGGTGTCGTCTGTCGACAGCGGTGTCCTTGTAGTCTATGTCCCACACACAGCTGCTACCACAGCTAAATAAATAGCTGTGTGCAGCAGTAGACTGCTAGTCTACTGAAGGAGTTTCCCTTCTTAGCGATGGCAACGCAATTTGTTGCCTTTCACGGCCCACAGACCTGCGTATACAACCAAGGCAGCGTTGACACACTGGCAGGGTTCCTGCCCGTGGACCTTCTGGGGACCGAATACCTTGGCAGGGTGTCACAGCGTCCGTACAGGGTCTAATTTGCCCGCAAGGTCCGCACAGGGTGAGCCAAATGGCTACGGGTGCATAACGAACATTGTGACAACTGTAAGTGAAATGTTAGCCTTGGTGACGCCCTTCTCCCCCTCTCTTTTGCAATATTCATCATAGTACGGACAGTTCCATATACTCGCTTGCTAAATAGCAGGATTGTTCATGTGGGCAGCTCCCTTCCATGCAAATAATGATAAAGCAAATTTGAATCTTCATGGGCGGCAGCGGCGGGACTACTGTATTCCGTGCTCACGGAGCCCTACCCTTCATAACTAGCCGTCGCGCCCCTGGCGCTGATGATGCGTGGGTCCGTGCTTGGCGGACGCGACAGCGCAGCACACAGCACGCATCGCCAGTGCCGTGTTATATCCACACGTAACACTGGATGCCAACTCGTCTTCCTGCTACGCCGACGGGAGTTGGCAACACTGTGCAGTCCGGCGTTGTTGGCTGGAAAGCATGTCTACACTACACACTGCTGTACTGCTGTCGAGGTCCAAACTGCTGTGAACGAGCCGGCCGCCTGATGGTCCAGTGGTCGCCTCAACAAGAACGGCAGGCCAAGGCGCACAATCGGGAGAAGTCGGACGCAGCATTCCCGCGGAATGTCAATGTCAGGTGAAGATTGCCTCCTACGGATGGTCATTCACGTGCACTTACACACTTTTTCATCTCGGGCCGCCAGCCACTTATATTTGTCCAACGGCGGTCTCAACAAACAACACGAAGCAGTAAAAAATACAGCTGTACATAGCCTGCTTGGTGCGTGCCGCGTGCGCCGCGCTCGCATGCTCGCACGCTTGCGCACACGCCCGCCTCAAGAATGACGTTGCTGGCAAATGTCTCCTGGAGAAATCCCTTAGTACAGTTGTCGAAGAGAAATGTGTCATGGTTACCGTGTGCACACACCCCGGATCGAAAGCTCGACTGCTGTACTTCACGCCCGTACTCCACAACAAGAGGGTGCCGAACCAAATGGTCCGTTTTCGGAAAGCTCTCGAGAAGACGGTTCCAACCCCGCCATTTTCGGCCCCGTCCCTAATTGTGGCGCAGACTGCTGTAGTAGTCGAGCGTTGATTATTGGTCCAGGGGGTGTGGTATCTTACGCCACGCACGGTAGGAATCTAAGCACTTGCTGTTACATGTATACATTTATGCATGGAATGGGTAATTTGATTACTCGGGGTTTCCCCGCATTTCACCAGTTCATTTTTACCAGTTCGGCACGAACTGGCGAAAAATGGCAGTTGAAAAATACCTGCCCGCGAAGGCGGCGA